AACATAACACGAGTGATAGGTGTTAGTTTGTTCACAGCGCCTCAGAATTCCCAAACATAACACGTGATAAGTGTTAGTTTGTTCACAGCGCCTCAGAATTCCCAAACATAACACGTGATAAGTGTTAGTTTGTTCACAGCGCCTCAGAATTCCCAAACATAACACGAGTGATAGGTGTTAGTTTGTTCACAGCGCCTCAGAATCCCCAAACATAACACGTGATGAGTGTTAGTTTGTTCACAGCGCCTCAGAATTCCCAAACATAACACGTGATGAGTGTTAGTTTGTTCACAGCGCCTCAGAATTCCCAAACATAACACGTGATAAGAGTTAGTTTGTTCACAGCGCCTCAGAGTTCCCAAACATAACACGTGATAAGAGTTAGTTTGTTCACAGCGCCTCAGAATTCCCAAACATAACACGTGATTTAGTTTGTTCACAGCGCCTCAGAATTCCCAAACATAACACGTGAGAGTGTTAGTTTGTTCACAGCGCCTCAGAATTCCCAAACATAACACGTGAGAGTGTTAGTTTGTTCACAGCGCCTCAGAATTCCCAAACATAACACGTGATAGGTTTAGTTTGTTCACAGCGCCTCAGAATTCCCAAACATAACACGTGATTTAGTTTGTTCACAGCGCCTCAGAATTCCCAAACATAACACGTGATAAGTGTTAGTTTGTTCACAGCGCCTCAGAATTTCCCAAACATAACACGTGATAAGTGTTAGTTTGTTCACAGCGCCTCAGAATTCCCAAAACATAACACGTGGCGTTAGTTTGTTCACAGCGCCTCAGAATGTGAGTGTTAGTTTTGTTCACAGCGCCTCAGAATTCCCAAACATAACACGTGATAAGTTAGTTTGTTCACAGCGCCTCAGAATTCCCAAACATAACACGTGAGAAGTGTTAGTTTGTTCACAGCGCCTCAGAATTCCCAAAACATAACACGTGAGAAGTGTAGTTTGTTCACAGCGCCTCAGAATTCCCAACATAACACGTGATGAGGTGTTAGTTTGTTCACAGCGCCTCAGAATTCCCAAACATAACACGTGATAAGTGTTAGTTTGTTCACAGCGCCTCAGAATTCCCAAACATAACACGTGAGAAGTGTTAGTTTGTTCACAGCGCCTCAGAATTCCCAAACATAACACGTGAGAGTGTTAGTTTGTTCACAGCGCCTCAGAATTCCCCAAACATAACACGTGATAGGTGTTAGTTTGTTCACAGCGCCTCAGAATTCCCAAACATAACACGTGATAGGTGTTAGTTTGTTTCACAGCGCCTCAGAATTCCCAAACATAACACGTGAGAAGTGTTAGTTTGTTCACAGCGCCTCAGAATTCCCAAACATAACACGTGATAAGTGTTTGTTCACAGCGCCTCAGAATTCCCAAACATAACACGTGAGAAGTGTTAGTTTGTTCACAGCGCCTCAGAATTCCCAAACATAACACGTGATGAGTGTTAGTTTGTTCACAGCGCCTCAGAATTCCCAAACATAACACGTGATAAGTGTTAGTTTGTTCACAGCGCTCAGAATTCCCAAACATAACACGTGATAAGTGTTAGTTTGTTCACAGCGCCTCAGAGTTCCCAAACATAACACGTGATAAGTGTTAGTTTGTTCACAGCGCTCAGAATTTCCCAAACATAACACGTGCCACAGCGCCTCAGAATTCCCAAACATAACACGTGATAAGTGTTAGTTTGTTCACAGCGCCTCAGAATTCCCAAACATAACACGTGATAAGTGTTAGTTTGTTCACAGCGCCTCAGAATTCCCAAACATAACACGTGATAAGTGTTAGTTTGTTCACAGCGCCTCAGAATTCCCAAACATAACACGTGAGTGTTAGTTTGTTCACAGCGCCTCAGAATTCCCAAACATAACACGTGAGAAGTGTTAGTTTGTTCACAGCGCCTCAGAATTCCCAAACATAACACGTGATAAGTGTTAGTTTGTTCACAGCGCCTCAGAATTCCCAAACATAACACGTGATAAGTGTTAGTTTGTTCACAGCGCTCAGAATTCCAAACATAACACGTGAGAAGTGTTAGTTTGTTCACAGCGCCTCAGAATTCCCAAACATAACACGTGATAAATGTTAGTTTGTTCACAGCGCCTCAGAATTCCCAAACA